TTGTTTCTTTTTTCTTTTTTTTTTCTTTAAGATTTTTTTATTTATTTGACAGAGAGAGACACAGCGAGAGAGGGAACACAAGCAGGGGGAGTGGGAGAGGGAGAAGCAGGCTTCCCACAGAGCAGGGAGCCTGATGCGGGGCTCGATCCCAGGACCCTGGGATCATGACCTGAACCGAAGGCAGACGCTTAACGACTGAGCCACCCAGGTGCCCCGAGCATCTTTTCGTTTCTTTATTGTACATCTTGTACATCTTGGGAGCAATGTCTATTTATATCCTTTGCCTACTTTTAATTGGATTACTCCTCTTCTTATCATTGAATTGTAAATGTTCTTTATATTTATCAAAAACAAGTACCTTATCAGATACATGCTTCACAAATACTTTCTCCTGTGAATTATCTTTTCACTTTCTTGATGGTGTTCTTTGAAGCACAAAAGTTTTTAATTTTGATGAAGCGCAATTTATCATTTTGTTGTTGTTGTTACTTGTGCTAGTGGTGTTCATAGCTACGAAACCATCGCCAAGAACATGAAGATTTATGTTTTCTTCTGAGAGTTTTATGGTTTTAGTTCTTCTATGTAGGTCTTTGATCCATTTTGAGTTAATTTTTGTATATGGCATAAGGAAGAGGTTTGTTTTCATGCTTTTCATATGTATTGCTTCAGCACCATTTGTTGAGAAATGAATGAATTGTATTGGTACCCTTCTTGAATATCAACTGACAACAAATATTTAGGTTTATTTATATACTCTCAGTTATATTATTTGCTCTGTATGTCTATTCTTATGCCAATATCACATTATTTTGATTACTCTAGCTTTGTAATAAGGAAGGGTGAGTCCTCTAACTTTATTCTTTTTTTCAAGATTGTTTTAACTATTCTGGGTCCCTTTAATTTCAATATGAGTATTAGGATCAGCTTCTCAGTTCCTGCAAAGAAGCCAGCTGGCATTTGATGGGATTGCATTGAATCTGTAGATCAATTGGGGAGTATTGCCTTCTTAATAATATTAAATCTTCTGATCCATGAACATGGGACATCTTCCATTTAGTCAGGTCTTCTTTAATGTCTTTCAATCAACCTTTAATTATTTAGACATGGTTTCCTTTAGTTCCTTGAATATATTTGTAACAGCTGATTTGTTTATTTTTCAATTAATTTTAATAGGTTTTTTATTTATTTAAAAGTTTTCTCTATTAAGTCCACCTTCTCAGCTTCCTCATGGGAAGTTTTTCCTTACTGCTCTTTTATCCTGTGTATGGTGCATACTTTCCTGTTTTTGTGTCTTGCAAATTTTTTTTAACTGGACATTTAAGATCACATAATATGGCAACTCTGGAAACCAGTTTTCCCTAGTATCTCCCTTCCCCAGAGTTGGTTTTGTGGTTGCTGTTTGTTGTTGCAACAACTGGGCTGTCACCACTTCTTTGTTTAGAGACTTTCCTGGACTAATTCTGCAAAGTCTATATTTTTTATTATGTGTGGCCACTGATGTCTCTGTTTACCTAGCTTAATGTTTAGTTAATGATTGTACGAAGGTTTTCTTAAATGCCTTGGATCACTGTATCTCCTCAATTTTGCTAAGGGTCTCTGTATGTGTGTTAAGGCATGCCTTCAATGCTCTGCAGCTTAAAATTTTGCCCTAGCCTTCACATCTTGCTTGCACAGAGCCTCAAGATCAGCCAGGGGTGGATGATTTAGACCTTCTCATGTCTTTCCTGGGCATGTGCACAGCCTTGCATATGCACAGAGCTTTCTAGATTTCCAGGAATATGTTGGAGCTTCTCAAAGCCCCCACTGATACTTCATTCCTAAGTTGTTGTTTTTTTTAAGATTTTCTTTTATTTGTCAGAGAGAGAGAGAGCGAGCACTAGCTGGGGGAGCAGCAGGCAGAGGGAGAAGCAGGCTCCCTGCTGAGCAAGGAGCCCGATGCGGAACTCGATCCCAGGACCCCAGGATCATGACCTAAGCTGAACGCAGATGCTTAACTGACTGAGCCACCCAGGCGTCCCCCTAATTTTTTCTTTTAAGTTTTTGATCAGCCAACAGGTATCACTGACTCAGGAAGCTGCAATGTTAAACAATTACCGCTGATTATTTTCAACAAACTGGGGAAAGAGATGTTTGCACTAAGGGAGTTCTGAGTTATATCAAATAAAGACAAGTCCTGAGAATGGTGCCTTTCTAGGGAGCTGCCTGATGGGTCAAACACTGTCCGTTCTCTGGGGATGCAGCTTTTAGGGAAGCTTCAAACCTGTTCTCTTTTGCAGCTGTTAGGCTGCTCATTTTCACAGTTACTGTGGTTTTGAGGTTATTGTTTTTTTAAGGCTACCATGGAGGTGGTGGGAGAAGAATGGGAATACTGCAAGTGAAAATGCCATAAAACTCAAAGTTTTTACTGACATTTAGCCATTTTTCTTTAATAAATCCTCCTTGTGTTGTTGCAAACCTTTGGCTAATTTCTAGTTTTGAAGAGTTGATTTTGACAATTTTTGCCAATGTTCTCATTACTTTTCATTTTGGAAGTGCTTGTCCTTTTTACCTTTGTTTTTTGTTGTTGTTGTTTTGCTTTTTTTTAAAAAAAAAGATTTATTTATTTTAGACAGGGTGAGGGGTAGAGGGAGGAGAGAGAATCCTCAAGCAGACTCCCTGCTGAGCATGGAGCCTGACTTGGGGCTCAATCCCAGGACCCTAAGATCATGACCTGAGCTGAAATCAAGAGTCCACCACTTAAACGACTGAGCCACCCAGGTGCCCTACTGTCTTTGTTTTTAATATAATTTATTTAATTGTAAGTGTATATAATTTAATTTTAACAATGACTGTATCTAACAAGTGGCATGCAAAATTCCTGGAGATTTAACAATTGGCTCTCATGAGCTGATACCAGCTGGTTCCAGTATACCTCTGACAGAACTCTCATGTATGCACCCAGCTCAGCCCTGCAAACATTTACAGTATCTGCTGGATGCCAGACCCCTAGAGATGCATGCTCATCTAGTACTAAACTGACTCCATATCCCTCAGCATCTAGCCCTCAGTGCAAACTTGCTGGCAGGACAAGAATGCCAGTAGGGTTGTCCAAGTGATGGCCTGGCAGGGAAGAAAATTGGAAAAGGCTGCACACAGGTAAGAACAGCTATAGGAACACACTGCAAGATACTGCTTCTCAGCTTAGGGATCTAATTCCAAATTGTGCCAAAGGCTATTTTCTGATTCCTAGGTGAAACTAAACAAAGCAAACAGGTTTTCAATTGTTTTATACATTCTCTACCTGGAAATCTTCAAGAGAAGCACTGGCAAAGTTTCGAGTGGTGAGGTGGATGGTAGGGTAAATGTTTCCATTAGACGCCCTCTGAGGAATGTGTACCTTAACTCCTGCTCTGTGAAGTGAGAAAAAAAAATATTTTTTAAACTTTGAGCTTTGCTCAAATAATAATGAAACCTGCTTTGGGATTGCGGTCTGACATGGTGCTGTTGGGGTGCACTTTAATTATAATTAACAAGCACAAGGATTATGAGGCAGGGCCTTGCTTGGGCTAGCATTGCTACAAATAAACACTGTGACTCCTCCCGACACCCAGCATGAGCATTCCCTGGCTTCAAGTGCGGAGCTTCCTCATAGAAGTAGAAGCACAACAGGGTGATTGCATCTCTTTTAGAGACCTTTGCCTACCTCCCCTTTCCCAAACAGAGATCAGCAGGCAGGCAGGGACGCTTTAACACAGTATTTCACATTCCAGCTATTTGTTTACTTAGGTGTTTATTGGCTTGCCTTAATCATTCAACAAATATTCCCCAGGGCATCGTCTGTGTGTCCAGGGCTGGTTTAGCACTGCAGAGAGCTGACATTTAGGATGGACATTTGAGGAGTTTGGAGAACTGGGCTCCCCTGCCTGCAGTTTATAGAGCTCCATCTGATAAGATCCAAATCAGTTCCTCTCATGCACAAACCAGTACAAGTACATTCTCCAGAAAAGCCCAGCATTTCCCCAACCTCCAGGCCTCTAACTATTTCGTTGCTTCTGCCTGGAAGGTGCTTTCTCTACATTTTCTGCAGGACTATGGTCTCTCCTCACCTGTTGGCTGGACCTTGTCTCTTGCTGGGGGGAGGTTGGCAGCTGGGCGTGCCCAGCACCAGGACAGGGCACTATTCCTTCAGGAAATAACTCCTCGGAGCCAGGCCCTGTGCCAGCCCCTGGGGGACTCCCACTGACGTGGGCACAGTTCCTGTCCTCAGGGAGTTTACAGTCACAGGAACAATGTACGGCAGCTGGGATAGCACTCTGTCTGGGGACAGGGCGAGGCACTAAGAGATGCCAGTCATTTCTCCTGGGGCTGGGCGGGGCCATCTTAGATGACGTCAGCCTTTAGGTGACTCTTGACAGTGAAAAGAGAGTGTGCCAGGTGGCCGAGAGGACAGGAAGGGCACTCTTGGCAAAGGGAACATCTTGAGCTCAGGAGCTGAGTCAGTGGGTGTGAGGGGAGAGCCATTCTATTCTTGTTGAACTGAAATGGAAGCCCAAGTATCTTTGATGACGGATAGGATGTGTAGGTCAACCTAAGGAGAGGGGAGTAAAACGGCTATGACAAGTAAAAAAGGCAGAAGACAACACAGGCCTACTTTTGCTCATTTTAAAATATTGAAAAAAGATTCATATGGATTCTGACTGCTTTTTATTGTCTCCTCTATACTTCCCTGTATTTTAAAAATTAAAATAATTGTCGGCATTACCCGCTGCCCACGCACTCCTCCGTCTGCAGGGGGCGCACCGGCGGCCACCCTCCCTCTTTCAGGGTGGTGGGCGGGGCCGCTCCAGCCGGTTTGGAACTGACGATTGGCTGGTTGGGCTGTTCGTCACGGCGTCCCGCCCCCCGCCCTACGTCACATGACGCAGCCCATCATGGCGGCGGGAGCGCGGCTGCCCTGGCCCGCGGCTCCGCAGGGCTGCTGCCGTTGCTGCTTTTGAGAGGGGGCGGCGGCGGCGGCGGCGGCACGGGCGGGCGGGCGGGAAGGATGGTGTTTCTGTGGCCCGGGCGGCGGGTGCGGACCAGGAGCCAGGCTGAGGTTTGGCCGAAGCGACGTGTGCTCAGGAGCAGCCGGCGCGGGTGCCGCTGAGGCAGGCAGGACCGACTGACGGACGGACCGACGGAAGGCGACCCGAGAGCCGGCCCCGGGGCCGCGCCGTGGGCGAGATGCCGGGGCCGCCGGCGTTGCTGCTGCCGTTGTTGCTCCTGGCCGCCGGCAGTGCGGGGGCCGCGCCACTTCCGCAAACAGGTGCAGGTGAGCGGGCCAGCTGCGGGGACGGGGCTGCGGGAACCCAGGCTGCGGGGCCACTGCGACGGGGGTGGCCGGGGAGGAAGCTCCGGGCCCGGTCCGGCGTCGGCGCCGAGGAATCGGAGGGCCTGCCGGGGCGGGAGGCCCGGGGAAGCGAGCGATTAGGGAGGTTTCTGCCGCAGGGGCGTGGGGTGGGGGAGCGGGCAGCCTCTCCAGGGCCGAAGCGGGGGCGAGGCGACGCGGTTGGGCCCCGGGAGGGCGGCGAGCGGGGTGGCAGGGATCGACCTCTCCCGGGGTAGGCTGCGGTACCAGCTCTGAACCTGTTGCCCGAAGGTCCTCAGCCTACATCCCTTTCTGGCAGTTCTGCTTCCCTTTCAGATGTCACCTGCCTCCTGTGCGTTTCTCACATCTTATAATAAGAACCGTTTCTTAGCTCTAATCCTACTTAAATGCAAATGACTTGGTGAGATGGGTTGCGAGTTTCCTTCGCTCCCTGCAACTTGTTCTGAAGTTGTAAATTGATTTTGGACTCTGTGCTTTTTATTGGGATTGAATCTCTGGGAATGAGAAGGAGACAACTCTGTAAATATTTCTATTTTAGGAAGCAGTGATTAGAGTAGCAGCCTTTGAATAACTATTGACAGAATGGCCCAAGGGTGATTGAAGTTTCTATTTTAGCTACGTCAGGGTGTGATTTTCCTTTTTTTCTCCCCATTTTCTAGACATCGTTTTCAGTTGTGGTTTATTCTCCCAGATAAAACTTTACCCCAGGAAAGCATCCCAAGTTGGGTTATTTTCTTTTTTTTTCTTTTTTCTTTTATTTTTAAAAAGATTTTATTTATTTATTTGACAGAGAGAGACAGCCAGAGAGGGAACACAAGCAGGGGGAGTGGGAAAGCGAGAAGCAGGCTTCCGCTGAGCAGGGAGCCTGATGCGGGGCTCAATTCCAGGACCCTGGGATCATGACCTGAGCTGAAGGCAGTCGCTTAACCAACTGAGCCACCCAGGCGCCCCAGCTATTTTCTTTTTTTTAAAGGAAAAAAAAATCTGGGTTAAGATCTAGTGCTTATCTTTAATAAGGAGAGACTGAAATTTCCTAGATTCGTGAAATTTTCATATTGGAAGAGACCTCAAAGAAAATTGAGTCTGATATCTTTGTTTTGCAGTTGAAGATGCTGAGGCCCTGGGGGTCAAATGACCTACCCAAGGTGACACAGCTAAATTGTAGGCGGAGCTACATCAAATACCCAGGTCTTGAATTCCCCTAGTTGTGTGATTTTTCCACTTCCCCACTTAAAGCCTTACAAGTGTTTAGGCATACTCCTGAGATTAAGAGTTATTTTTAAGGGCGCCTGGGTGGCTCAGTCGTTAAGCGTCTGCCTTCGGCTCAGGTCATGATCCCGGGGTCCTGGGATCGAGACCCTCATCGGGCTCCCTGCTCCGTGGGAAGCCTGCTTCTCCCTCTTCCACTCCCACTGCTTGTGTTCCCTTTCTCACTGTGTCTCTCTGTCAAATAAATTAATTAAATCTTAAAAAAAAAAAAAGATTTGGTGGCGCCTGGGTGGCTCAGTCGTTAAGCGTCTGCCTTCGGCTCAGGTCATGATCCCAGGGTCCTGGGATCGAGCCCCGCATCGGGCTTCCTGCTCTGCAGGAGGCCTGCTTCTCCCTCTCCCACTCCCCCTGCTTGTGTTCTCTCTCTCGCTGTGTATCTCGCTCTGTCAAATAAATAAAATCTTAAAAAAAAAAAAAAAAAGATAAAAAAAAAAGAGTTATTTTTAAATGATGTTCACTGAGTACACAATGTGGAAGTTACCTTCCCCAGTAAAGGAAAGTTATGTATAATTGTTTCCAGAGCTACACCAGGTTATGTCATTGAGTGCCCTTTGAGTATTAACTGTTAACCATTGTACCATGTAACTTATGGCTGAATTTTTGCCACTGCCTTATATCAAATATTTGTTAGGTGATTTCTGTTTTCTGATCTGATAGATAAGAAAAATGAATGTTATTAGAAGTATATGCTCCCCAGATAAGAGTCACAGAAAGTACCTGGGAAGTTATAAAAGACTGTATGGAAAGATGTTGATGTTAATATTGAAAAGAAACTGATGGTGAAATTCAAAATTAGCACTAGAGTAGGATAGTGGACAAAGAGTATTTAGTGAGAGGGATTCAAGAAGTTTCCAGATGACTTTGCACTTAAATTTTTATATTTTTTGAAAAACAGGTTCTATGTGAGAACCCATGGAAATGTGTCTGCCTATAAACCTCTTAACATGATTTTTATTCCATTCTTCCACTGTTTTATGGAGGTGTGAATCATAAAATCTGAGTTTTTTTGGGAGCGTTGTAAAACAAAACAATCAGGAAAATTAATCCATAAATAGAAATACCAAATTTTGACATAAAGCATAAAGAAATATTTGCTGATGTATAGCAGCTTTTGCAGATTTTCCCTTCATATTCTGTAGCTCAGAAGGTATATGATTAGATATATGGCATATGAATGACAGGTATCTAAGGTTAAATTCTATGGAAAAGATGCATAATCACACATAGATTTGGCGGTTTGTATTTCCATCCAAAAGAGATTGTTAATTCTGGTAACGGAGATGGATTCTTGATGAAGATGTATTAGGCCAAGAAGAATAAAGAAACCTTTGACTAATCCTGGGAAGTGATCTCACTGGTTAAGAAAGTGGAACCCCTTTTGAACATATATGCTAGATAAAAGAGCAGTTAAATGTTGAAAACATAGTAACTCTCAAGCCTTTGATTATCTGGGGGACTGGCCATTTTCATATTAAGGATAGATCCATTGCATAGTGTCTTTTGTCTCCTTGGCCTTTATTCTTTCTACTTAAATTTCTGACTGGTTAATAGTGCCTTGAAGAAAGCATGGCTTATCAAAAATAGATTGGAAAAAATGCTTGAATTTAACCTTTGCATGGAGAAAGAAATGAGTCAGTTAACTAAAATTCAGCCAAAATTCATTTCTAGGTTTGGAAGTTGAAAAGGGTATTTACCCATTCATTCATAATTAAGCTTTATAAATATGTGGATTGCCTTTGCCCATCAGGCAAGAAGGCATTTCTTTTTCTTTTTTTTTTTTAAGTTTTTATTTTAATTCCAGTTGGGTAACATACAGTGTTATATTAGTTTCAGGTGTACAAGGAAGGCATTTCTTGCTTGAACTTTATTTTGGGCCTCTCTATTGCTCTGAGAGTTGCTTACGCCCTCTTTGGGGGCCTCTTCCTGAGAATGTCTATTTCTGCAAGGGTCCTTGTTATACAGATGGAGATCTCGTTGGTCCTCACTAGGAAGCTTCCATAAAGGGAAAAAAATCCACTGTTTTCGCACATGGTGAAATTACCGAACTAAGGCTACAGTTGAGAAATTATTTTCTCCTGGTCATAGTTACCAGATCATTCTTCTCAGAAAACATTTATGCACCTTTTGTAAGATTCTTGGGATTCACATCATAAAGAAAGATCTGTTTGTATTTGTGAAGGCATTCTCTAAGTCCACAGTTTGTTATTAATATTAGGATAGTGGTTAGACAAGGAAACCCACTTCTATTGTTTTGTGGCATATTAGGTCACCGAGTACAGAGGAAGCTTTTAGCAGTTCCAGATAAAGGAGCTCACGGAAGTCTGTGAAGCCGGTGGGACTCGGCTACTTATTAAACAGCAGCTTGTGAAACCGGGGCTCTTGTTTTAGATTAAACAAACAGACTTGGATCTTGAAAAAGATTCTGCAGTAAAGGAAGTGCTTTCAAAAAGTGTGAATTTTTGTGTTTATTTCAATAGCTTCTGAGAAATAAAAATTATTTTCATCAGGTTTTCCATGCAGATTATTTCAGGTACTATGGCTGTAGGGCTTGAGATTTGATTTCGGTTGGGCATGTTGTAGTTGCTCTCAGCTGGTGGTATTTTTTGGTTAACTAGATATGCTCATTTGCACAGTAATAGGAAGTCTGTCCCAACAGTTTTGTAGCTGATCAGCATTGAAGTTATCAAATCCCTACAGTTTTGCTGATATCAGTGTGCTGACTGTTCATGCAATTCTCTGGAAATTTAGGGAGTCCTTGGGCCTGCTATGTCACTTAGATAACAGCTGTAACATGTCACAAAAAAAGACTTTGTAACATAAATGAAATGTTCTGTATGGGGTGGCCAGGGTTCTGCAACAAATGAGTCTTCAAAAAAGTCCTTGTAGGTGGACGTATCAAAAGAAGCCAGCCTTTGAGTCCTGTTAAGAGTGAAAGTCGTGAACCAGTCACAGGAGGAGCGGGTGTTGCGGACGGACAGAGCTTGGGCTTTGGAGTCAGTCTGGGTGGGAGACCTTCCCTTGCCACTTCAACAGTGTTGAGACCTTGGGCCAGTTACTTGACCTCTCCAAGCTTCTCAGAACTCAACTCAGAAAAAGGATGATGATATTTACCCTAAGGGTTGTGGGGGGTTATGTCAGGATGGTGTGCCATGTCTGCTACGTTAGGCTTCTTCATTGCTTCAGATTTCCTTGTAAAATTGGTGGGTTACCATGTAATCGACTAATGGTAAGTGGTATGGTTCAGAGAAGGAGCTCAAAGTGGTAGCTGCTTATCATGGCATGCCTAGAGTTTACCAGATTTAAAAACCTTTGTTGCTTAAAATAACTTGTATGATGGGTGAAGAAGAGATCCTTCACAGAGAAATCTGGCTTATTTAAGGGTAATACATAGGCTGGTATTGTTATTTCTTGAAATTCATAATGTTGGGGAATTGTGCTAGAAATTTTCAGGATGATCTGGATTAGTCCACTTTTATGTAATAAACCTGTTTTTAAATGTCAAGATTATTAAAGCTCTTGCATGTGAACAGTTTCTGGTTTTAATGTACTTAAAGGAACCACAAGCAATGCAGGTCTAGCTGATCCCAAACAGCATAAAGCATCCCTGAAAACAACCCGCTAAGCTGGGCCCTTAGAAAGTGTCATTTGGAGAGATGAGTATGACTGAGTTGCTT